ATCATTCTGGTTATTGCCAAACGATGTGCTGCAGTGAGGTGGAAGTCAGATCTCACCTGTTGGGCTGTGGCTAAAATATACAACAAAAAATAGAAGATAATGAGAAAGGAGATATTTGTGACTGAGCTGTTCAGATGATGCACTGAGCGTTTGTTTTATAGTGAAAATCCTAAAATAAAGGTTGTGAAAATAAACATCAGAGTTACAGGGGGCCACAGCAGAGGGGCCCCATGTGGCCCCAGAGCCACAGGTTGCCCCCCTGGTGAGTGTGTATGACCTTAAAAATCAATGACCATATTTTGAAAATGTAGGCTGTGATGTTCCAGCTGTCAATAGAGCTGATCGATACACACACAGCCTGCAGGGAGGAGGAGGAGGAGGAGGAAGAGGGGACAGGAAGTGTGTGTGTGACGCAGCCTCCCCAGGTGTGACACCATGACCTCACCTTTCTTGAACTCCTCCAACATGGCGTCCAGCTTGGTGTCGTGGAACACAAAGTGCACCGGGTGGTTGTAGAACTTGGTGATGGTCTTCAGGGTGGTGCAGTCGTCCGGGTCCACGAAGGCCAGGTCCTTGACGTACAGGATGTCCACGATGTTGGTCCTCTCGTCGTCGTACACGGGAATGCGCGTGTAGCCGCTCTCCATGATCTCAGACATGGTGTTGAAGTCCAGCACGGCGTCCGCCTGGATCATGAAGCAGTGCGCGATGGGGGTCATGACGTCCTCCACGGTCTTGGTCCTGAGCTCGAGCGCGCCCTGGATCATGTTGAGCTCCTCCTTCACCAGGTCGTTGTAGGGCTCCGTCACCTTGAGCATCTCCACCAGCTTCTCCCGGTTGTACACGGTGCCGATCTCCTGGCCCAGCAGGACGTCCAGCAGCTTGCTGACGGGGAAGGACACCGGGAAGGTGAGGAACATGAAGAACTTGGTGAGCAGGATGGTGTTGGCGCCCACGGCCAGCCCGTGGCGCGAGCACAGCGCCTGCGGGACGATCTCCCCGAAGATGACGATGCCGATGGTGGAGGCCACCACCGCGCCCAGCCCGGAGCCGGTCAGGTCGTCCAGCAGGATGGTGAGGGTGGTGTTGACCAGGACGTTCCCGAGCAGCAGAGAGCACAGCAGGTAGTTCCCTTTGCTGCGGATGGGCTCGATCTTCCGCGCGTCCTTCTTCTCCTTGTCGGTGCCGCAGCTCTGCACGATGCGCAGCTCCATGGGGTCGAGCGCCATGAGCCCCAGGTTGAGCCCGCTGAACATCCCGGAGAGCACGAGCAGGCACGAGATGAGGATCACCTGCAGCCACATGGGCAGCAGCGACTTCTTCTCCTCCACCACCAGCACCCTGCCATCACTGTCCCCCAGCAGCACCCACCTGCTCCCGTCCGCGCTCCGCGTGCACAGGGCGTACTCCTTCCGCGGCTCGCTCTTGCGGAGCGGCTTAATGTGCACGGTGAGCAGCCCCGACGTGCCCCGGCTGCTCACGTTCATGAAGGTCTCGACGCTGATGTCCTTCGTGAAATCAACGCAAGTCCTGTCCGGCGGCTCCATCACCATCATGCCGCTGCCGCCCCTCGCCGCCGCCACCGCCTCCTCCTCATCCTCCGCTTCGTCCCCGCCGCCGCCGCCGCCGTCCGCCAGCTCCGTGAAGCGGATCTGCGTCCAGGCGCCCGAGTGGAGCTGCACCCCGTAAAACCGGAGCTGCACGGCGCTCTCCTCAGTCACCTGGATGACACCGTCGTCATTGGTGCCGGCCGGCTTGTCGCTCCTCTCCAGCCGCATGCCGAGCACCTGGCTGCCGCTGCTGACGCCGGACGCCGCGGTCTCCGTGCGGCCGCCGACCGCGCTCCACAGGAATATGATGACAGTGAGAATGTAACCCTGCTGCCCGCTCCATTCTGTCGCCATGTTTGTTTCACTGCTCGGCGACCTGGGGGCTGACGTCATTTACTCATGTCCGAGCGGCTCCGCCCCCCGCCGGTCCATCACACACACCCCCGTTATCACCGCCTACCGGACAGCGGCAGGTAGAGCTAATAAACAAACTCCCCCTTCCTCCTCCTCTTCCTCCTCTCTGTCCCAGCTGATAATATTCTGATGCTGTGTTTCTGCAGCATGTGAACACACACACACACACACACACACACAC